GGGGGCTTGGGGGGGATTTGGTGTCCAGCAGGGCGGGCAGCGCCGAGTACAGCGTCTGGGAGGGGAGCAAGGGGTTAAACTGGGGGTTTGGGGGGGTTTAGAGGGTTTATAGGGGATTGGGGGAGGATTTGGGGGGGTGCGTCTGGGTGAATTTCAGGGTTCCCCCAGGTGAGTTTTGGGGGCCCCCAGGTGAAATTCGCGGTTCCCCAGGTGAATTTGGGGTTCCCCAGGTGAGTTTGGGGCCCCCAGGTGGTTCCGGGGTCACCTTGGTCAGGTAGTAGACGCTCTGCTGGAACGTGGACATGATGACCTCGTCCAGCACCCCCAGGGCCTCGTCACAGCGCTCCAGGTCCCGCTCCAGCTCCGGGCACGGCCCTGAATCCGGGATTCACCCCAAAACTTTGGATAAACCCCCAATCCCGTGGGATTCACCCTGAAACTGGGGGTCAGGCCCTAAATCCCGCGGGATTCACCCCAGATCCCATGGGATTCACCCCAAAACCTGGGATCAGCCCCCAAATTCCTCCAAGAATTCCCCCAAAAATCCCAGCATGGCCTCAAAACCCCAGTCCCTCCCAGCTTACTCCCAGTCCCTCCCAGTCCCTCCCAGTCCCCCCCAGTCCCCCCCAGCTTACTCCCAGTCCCTCCCAGTCCCTTCCCAGTCCCTCCCAGTTCCCCCCAGTGCCACCTTCGATGTCCAGCTCTCGCTCCAGGCCCTGCAGGTGGCCCTGGGCCAGGTTCAGCAGCTCCACGGCGTTGGCCAGCCAGAGCAGCAGCGGCCGCAGGTCCGAGCTGACCCCGGCCAGGTCCAGCGCGGGCGGGGGGTCCCCGTCCGGGGGGCTGCGGGCACCCCGAAATGGAGGAGGGGTCCTGGAGGGGCTTTGGGGGTCTCTGGGAGGAGGTTTTGGGGTCCCGGAGGGGTTTCGGGTGTCTCTGGGAGGAGGTTTTGGGGTTTGGGGTGGTTTTGGGGGGTCCTGGATGGGTTTTGGGGGTCCTGGAGGGGTTTTGGGGGTCTCTGGGCAGAGATTTTGGGGTGGTTTTGGGGGTCTCTGGACGGAGGTTTTGGGGTGGTTTTGGGGGTCTCTCACCTCTCCGGCTGCCTGTCCCCAATTTCCTTGATCTTCTCCTGCCAGGAGAGACCAAGGGACCCCCTCAGTGCCCCTGTACGGCCCAGTATGGCCCAGTATGGCCCCAGTATCCCTCCCAGTTCAGTCCCAGTATCTCTCCCAGTTCAGTCCCAGTATCCCTCCCAGTTCAGTCCCTCCACATACCCCCATATCCCCAATTTCCCGCTATTCCCCCCAGTCCCCCCGATATCCCCAATGTGCCCCAAATGTCCTCAATGCCCCCCAATGTCCCCTCATCCCCCGATGTCCCATATGTCCCCCGATGTCCCAAATGTCCCTCCGATGTCCCCAGTGTCCCCGCGCTCACCCAGACCGTCTCCCGCAGCATCCCGGCCACCTTGCCCAGCAGCTCGGGGAAATGTCCCGCCGGGAACTCTCGGGCCGCGTGGTCCAGGCACAGCCCCAGCAGGAAGGCGGGGGCCAGGACCCCCAAATCCTCCCCGGAATCCCCCCCGGGGGACCCCTCCCCAGCCTCCCCGCCGGGACCCCCGCCCAGATCCATGTCCAGGATGTCCCTGAGCAGCGTCCCCTCGTCCTGGGGCCGGTAGCGGAGCTCGGCCCGGGGGCTCTCCAGGGCCTCCCGCAGCGCGTCCCGCCGCTCGCGGGGGCTCCTCCCGCAGCCCGCGCACCCCAGGACCCCCAGCAGCCCCGGGGCCGCGCGGGGCGCCGGCACCCACGGCGGCCGGGCGCCCTCCCCGAGCCGGGGGTCTTTGTAGAGCAGCAGGACGTGCTCCCCCAGCCCCAGAAGGTCGCCGGGGTTGAGGGGCGCCCGGCGGAGCAGCGGGGACCCGTTGAGGGTGGCGGGGGCGCCCCGAAAAGGCCGCACGGTGGCCGAGGGGGGGTCCCCGCCCGGGTCGCCCCCCGCCCCGGCCTGCACCAGGCAGTGGCGGGGGAGGATGTCGGGGGCGCTCAGGAAGGTGTCGACCACCGAGAACGGCCCCGAATCCGATTTTGGGGGGGCGTCGGGGGTCTCCGGGGTGGGAGGGGGGGTTTCGGGGCAGCCCCC